TTAGGGTGCTTGGGGCGGCCGGTGAGAGTCTGTCCTGGAGTCCGGCCGCTTCCTGCGCTGACCGGGCCTGGGCTGGGGACAGGGACCCTCCAGGCCAAAGGAGCCCAGAGAGTGAGGATGTTAGGAAGAAAAGCCGGAGCTCTTGTCGGGTTTCTTTCCTCTCGGATGTCTGAAGCTGAGCGCTTTTCGGCCGGCCTTAGCCCGGCCTCTCCCCAGCCTCTTTGTCCTTGCAGTCGGTTTTTATTCATTTTAACTGGTGAAAACCTTTCCAAGCACTTGGTGCGGGCAGTGGGCGCCGGGCCCTGTGAGAAGGGACGTGCGTGGTCTCCCAAGACAGGCCCTGCCCTCGGCAACCCCACCCGGCCAAGAACGGAGCCCTTCCTTTTCCGTGGGAGCTCAGGGCTCCTTCCCGGGCGGAACCCTGGAGCGAGGCTGTCCCAATGCTGGCCGACCTGCAGCGGCTTAGACGCCCCGGCAGAGCAGCCGCTGGAGGGCTGGCTTCAAAGGGCCCCTCACCCAGGGCCCAGCCTCATGGCCAGCTGTGCTAAGGATGCATTAGTGGGGCCGTGCCTTCCTGGGCCCCTTCCACTATTAAAAAAAATAAAATAAAATTTATATTTTATACTGTGTTGGCATAAAGACAAATATATTAATATATACAATACTGAAACATTTTCCTTGGCCTCAACGTTCATATTTTTCTTCAGATTTTAAAAGAAAGAAAAACATGTTTTTTGCGGATCCCTGGGCACGGTGCCTGCTGACCAGGCCAGCTGGGGACGGGAAACCCGGCGGTGACCAGGGAAGAGCAGGTTTCTGGTGCAGGCCCAGGCCAGAGGTGGCAGAGGAGAGAAGTCGGGGAGCCTTGCCCTGCAGGACTGAGACCGCCTGCTCCCGGGAAAAGGCAACAGGACTTAGCAGACAAATGCCTCCTGTGAGCTGACCCCCGTTGCAGACTACACTTAGGGAGGCGTCAAGGTTACGGTTCATTTTGAAGGAAAGACACTGATTCCTTCTCGCTTAGCCTTGTAGCTCCGGACATGGGCAAGGAAACCAAAACTCTGGTACTTTTAAAACTGTGGACTGTGCACACCTGTTAGCAGGGGGCAGCGGGATGCTCACTTCCACCCCAGAGCTTGTTTTCTCAGCCCTTCCCCTTCCGACCCAACTTTTCCTCTGTAAACTTCATTAAAAATTTCACCTAGCCCCACTAGTATTTGTAGTACGTTATGAATGAGAAAGTGCATAAAGACAATTAGATATTTGGTAGCATTTAAAATGAACCTGTATTTTATTAATACTACAGCATCCAGGAACATTTAGACACTAGAGTCACATGTTATATTCAGATCACAGATGAGGTGTGAGGTGCGTCTAGATCTCGGACCTCTCGCAACAGCTTTGTGGCCTCAGCCACAAGCTGGGAACCTATGACCAGACCTAAATCCAGAGTCCCTAACACTTTTCAAGTCACCCTTTTAAATGACAGATAATAACATTAATTGACAACTCCATAGAATAGTTATAAACGTTCACCCAAGTGGTAGAGCACCTTTAATAATTGCCCACCGCAAGTCCTCAGCCCACCCCAAGCCCTCAGCCCCTCAACCCCTCTGCGTGGTTCTGCACCTGGCACTGCGCCGTGTGCCAAGTGGAAGATGGGGCCTCTTCTCCTAGACCTGAACCTCTGGGCTAGTGGGTCTCACATTTTAGGACACGATAGAGTCATGGGGAGCATGTTAAAGTTGTCAAATCCTGAGCCCACCCTAGGAGGTAAGAACCAAGGCGGCCAGAGTGACCCTCAGAAAACACTGTAGCCAGAGGGATGCGCAGTGTACATGGAGAGGTGACAGAGAGAGCTAAGGTGACTTGTGGAACAGACAAGCTAGCAATGATGAAGTTCAAGTGCAGCCAGCATTTAGCACCAGTGGGTTACACGCGTGGGATGCTTCTTAAGAGAGAGTTTTGAGTTGAGGAGTATCACAGCATCTTTATTTTATGGTGAGGACAGCAGAGACCCAGGGAAGTGGGGGGTTTTACTTCTGCCTGGAGATCAGAAAGCAGGTGCCCCCACAATCAAAGGGTCCTAAGCAGATGGCTGGAAGCAGAAGCGTGCGTGTGTGCGAGTGTGTGTAAGCGCGTGTAGCAGGCAGATGCCAGCATTCTGACCACAGTCATCCAGCAGGGTCCTGTTTGACCTTCAGAGGTGAGGAGTAGGCATTTGTTAACCCGAGAACCCCCTAATTCACTCACATCTGTGAAGCTACTGACTGAGCCCGGGTTCGCGCACAGAAAGGGCCGTGAGATTTAGGCCGCGAGTAAATATTATAGTATCATTTCCTAAGAGGCAGCAATAATTAACGAAGGCAGGGAATTTTCGTTAAAATACACGTGTGATGATTAGAATAGACCCTGGAAAGGTAACAAGAGCCCCAGTCAAGGTCATGGTCGTTAGGTATTCGTTTTCTATTGCTGACATCGGTCAGGGGGGCCCTTCGCTGGGAACCCACATTGCTTGCAGCGTTGGCTTGTCTGGCGGCTTTCACACGAAAGGTGATGCGTGAGGTGGCTTCGCGGGCTGCAAGCGGGAGGTGCTGGTTCAGCCTCACTGTGCCTGCAGGACCTGGGCTGGGAAGAGGGTGCGAGAGGCGCCCTTGTCCACCGTGGTCGTGGGGGGGAACAGCGGGTAGAGTGGGGACCAGGCGGAGGGCACATGTGCCGCGTGTGTGCATGTGTGCGTGTGTGCTGTGCGTGTGCATGTGCACATGCACGTGCATGTGTGTGCGCGATGCTTGGAGGCGCACGTCTGCGGCAGGTGCACCGCCGCCCAGCAGCACAGACGCTGAGTGTGGCCTTCTCTGCCTTGTGTGAGCAGGAAAGTCGTGGAAGGCGCTGACGCTGTCGCAGAAGAGGCCGTACGTGGACGAGGCGGAGCGGCTGCGCCTGCAGCACATGCAGGACTACCCCAACTACAAGTACCGGCCCCGCAGGAAGAAGCAGGCCAAGCGCCTCTGCAAGCGCGTGGACCCCGGCTTCCTCCTGAGCTCCCTCTCCCGGGACCAGAATGCCCTGCCAGAGAAGAGGAGCGGCAGCCGGGGGGTGCCGGGGGAGAAGGAGGACAGGGGTGAGTACTCCCCGGGCACCGCCCTGCCGGGCCTCCGGGGCTGCTACCACGAGGGACCGGCTGGTGGCGGCGGCACCCCGGGCAGTGTGGACACGTACCCATACGGGCTGCCCACGCCCCCGGAGATGTCTCCACTGGACGTGCTGGAGCCGGAGCAGACCTTCTTCTCCTCCCCCTGCCAGGAGGAGCAGGCCCACCCCCGCCGCATCCCCCACCTGCCAGGGCCCCCTTACTCGCCGGAGTATTCCCCCAGTCCTCTGCACTGCAGCCACCCCCTGGGCTCCCTGGCCCTTGGCCAGTCCCTCAGTGTTTCTATGATGTCCACCGTCCCCGGCTGCCCCCCGTCCCCTGCCTATTACTCCCCAGCCACCTACCACCCCCTCCACTCCAACCTCCACGCCCACCTGGGCCAGCTCTCCCCGCCTCCCGAACACCCTGGCTTCGACGCCCTGGATCAGCTGAGCCAGGTGGAACTCCTGGGGGACATGGATCGCAACGAATTTGATCAGTATTTGAACACTCCTGGCCACCCAGACTCTGCCGCGGGCACCATGGCCCTCGGTGGGCATGCCCCGGTCTCCCAGGTGACACCAACGGGCCCCACAGAGACCAGCCTCATCTCCGTCCTGGCTGACGCCACGGCCACATACTACAACAGCTACAGCGTGTCATAGAGCCAGAGGCACCGCGTCCAGCCCGGCCCTCGAGCCCTCTCGCGCCCGTGTCCCGGGAGGAGCAGAGAGCCCTCGGGCTCCAGCTTTCCTCCCCTTGGCCGGGGAGGTCCGACTGCCGGCCCAGAGCCTATGGACTAAAGCTGGATGGGGCTCTGCTGATCCGGGGGTCCCTCCGTCCCCTTCCCCATGGCCCACTCCCCCCGCCTGCATTTTGAGTATATTCCTTCAAAAGAGCTTTGTCGGCTACACACTGGGAACAAGGCCATCAAGTTGCTGAGAGATGCTGTCTCCCGGTAGAGTGTTCGCTGACCTCCTTTCCTTGTCCCCATCATTGAGACACACGGTGACAAGCCCAGCAGCATTCGAACCTCTCCTGTTTTTGACACGGCTGCCCCTGGTCTTTGGATCCTGCAGGTGAGAAGCGCCCCAGGCCGGGATTCAGCCCCAGTTCTGCTGTGGGTGCTGGTGAGACACCAACATGCGCCCCCTCCCCGTCCAGCCCGTTCCCCCATCCGTAAAGCGGGGCACAGTCTTAATAGCCGAGGTCCCTCTGCTCCACGGTTTTCCGGTTTAGGATCCTCTCAAGGCTAACTAAAGGCAAATGGGGGAATCGGACTCATTGATGAGCTCCTTAACGTGCAACCTGGTGATAATTTTGTGTTCCTGGCCCAAGGACGAGGCTTTCCCCGCTCCCTGCACTCCCTCCAATATGAATTCCAAAAGGACTCTTCCAGTTTGAGAGAAAGCACTCATCCTGATTTGGGAAATTGGGGAAATTAACCGGAGTGGTTAACTACTTCGCTGAAAATGAGATTGGATTCCAACTGCTTTCTTAAATATATTTTTCACAGAAATTCTCTCTTACCGTACACACGCTTCAAGGGAGCACACGCAGTCTGAACACATGCCGTGAGCGTGTGAGAGGCACCCCACTCCACGCACACCTTAAACACGTGTCCACGCAGCCTAAATCAGGGATGTTCTTATTAACGGCGCGACTTCCGGCCAACTCCCTGCCCCTATTGGCCCAGGCAGCCGGGGTGCCTGAAAGGACTTCACCACAAGGCAGCGTCGCTGTCGTCAATGTGGATGTGCCGGTTTCTTGAGCAAAACTGCAGCACGTCCCCCTCTGTAGATGCAAAGGGAGTTTCCCCCCCGTGTGTTCTCCGGCTCTCTCCCTTTCCTGGGATTTCTTTTTCTCTTCTTCCTCGCTCTTGCTCCACCCCCGAGTTGGTCCCTAACTCACAGAGCCTCTGACTTAAAATCCCAGGCACAATTCCTCTGCCGCGATGGGAACCTGTCGCCCTCACCAGCCAGTTGGTTCGTCAGGCGAAGTCCTCAGCCGATACTTAACAACAGAGTCCCCAAATCAGAAACTCTCTGTGATTCTGCAAGTGTCTCTGAGCCCCGGCCACACCCCACGACCGTTTCCATTCTTCCCCCAAACCTCCTTTGAAGGAACATACCTAACAGTGAGCTACAAGACAGTTGTTTGTCTTTTGATTTCAGTGTATTATTGCCTGTAAGAAATACGTGTTTTATATATCCTCCTATTATTTTCACCTTGTATTTTGTATTGTTGACAGACCCTTGTTTTTTCCTTCCAAGAAGTCTTATTGTACAATCACTTATAAGATATGATTAATCTTTACGCTATTACTGTGTATGCCATTTGGTAATAAATAGTAAATCGTTGATATGGTCGACTGGTGCACAGCTCAGAATGTGTGTTAATAATCTTGTAAAACAGTATCACAGACATTAAGCTAAACTGTTCCATTTTTTGTAACAACTACACAGGCTTTCGAACGGTTGTAGATATCGATTTGTTGGAAATATTTAATTTAAATAAACATTTTTGTACCATGACACTTCTATCCTTTGAAAAAGAGTTTTGCAATAAGAAAAAGTTTTCAAGTAAGGCATAAATATTATATCCAGTGCTACTTGTAGTATTGGTCAAAGTGTTTTCTACATCGGCTTTTTATTTTAAAAAGTTGCTATCTTGTAGGGATGATTTATTTAATTTTATGAGTTACAGTAAAGCGGTAAATCCACATTGTACACACCAGAAACTGTTGTGATCATTGACATTGAACAGAAATACCAACTTGTAGCCTCCATGAAGAACAATGTTCTCCTCGAGCTGACTTTACACTTGCAGAGAAGAATGAGGTGGTTCAGGCTGTCTGAGAATTGAAAGTAAGTTTTATCCAATTACTTGCTTGCTTAAGGCTACTACACTTTTTTCTTCTTTTTAAGGCAGTCTTGAAACACACCTAGCTTGCCCTCTTTCCTGTGTGTTTATGGATGTGGTGTCGCAGTGCATCACGGGCTCTCGAAACCCGGCGGAAGGTTGTGGAGAAGGCAGGGGGGGCACGGGAAGGAGTAACTAAAGGATGCAACGTCTCTTGAGGTTTAGGATTAAAATTCCTGCCAAAAAGCATCTGGAAAAAACTGATTACTCAGTCCCTGTGCAGGTCACCTCTGTCTGGCTTCTGTCCACGGTGAAGCCGTCGGAACTTGTTCCCGTCAAGGGCAGCCTGTGTTTTCCCAGGCCCTCGGGGCCAAGGAGTGGGCCTCCGGAGGCCTAAATGGGCACAGGTTTATCCTTCGATTTTGATCCGAATCTGTAGTCATTATGTTAATAGCGCTTTATAGGTGTACGGAGCTTTATAGAAAGTTTTATGGGCTATTTCTCATCCACAGCCTCAGGTGGGGCTGTCATCTACCACTGCACAGCCAGGGACACTGGGACCCAGGTGGGAGGGGGCGCAGGGCAGCTCACCCGCCTGGCTGGGCGAAGCTGGGTCTCAGCGCATCGTCAGCTACGACTGTTGGCGGCGTCAGCCAAACCGCCCCACAGCTGGAGGCCAAGTGCTTGTTTAGCGCTTTGCCGTGGCATGGAGTTATGCGCGGTCCGGTTCATACCTATCACAGCCCAGGGAAAGAAAGAAAAAGAGGAAATCACAGGACCAGAGTTAGATGCGAATGAAGACCTTGATGTTCAGGCCTTGTCACCGTGACCGGCCAGCGGTGGCCGTCTGCAGTGTCCTCGGCTGCCCGGAGCGGCTGTCTGGCAGTGTCTGTCCAGGACGTGGTCGCTTGACAGTGTCAAGTGGGTGTGTCGCAGTCCAGCTGTCACTGGGGCCCCCGGGGGGCCTGGTGCCTGCCCTGGGAGGGCAGGAAGGCGCAGGGCTGCCCTCCCCTGTGCTCGGCTGCGAGTGGAGGTGTCCTGCCCGGGAGCCAGGGCTCCTTGAGGCCTATCTGGGCGCGTCACTGCCTCCGGCACCCAGGTGGCTCCGAGGTGAGTTCTCGCTCCCCCTCTGGGCCCCTCACTTGTCCCTGAGTCTCAGTTGAGGCGCAAAATGACTCCATTCAATGCCCAGAATGAGCTAACTCTTTCCTAACAAGGAAGCATTCAAACCGCCCATGACGCCTTACAACTGCCTTGAGTCTCAGCTGCTGCCGTCGGCTCCCTGCCGCGCCCACTGGCAAATCGAGAGTGTCCCTTTCCCCACCCGCCACAGCGGATGGCACCCTCTTCCTTGGCTTCTGGCCTGGTGTCGCTGCTCTCAGCCCGAGGTGTGGGAAAGTAGTTTCCAGCTTGAGCTTTAGCACTGACTTCCCATGTGGGGCAGAGGACTGTCCTGCCAGTTGCCAAGGCGACCCGATCGGTTCTCCAGAGTCCTCAGGTGCACACGCGGGAGCTCCAGGGACAATAGGAGGGTGGCTGGAGAGCTGGGACCTGGGGACGGGGTCTGGCTTTAACCATCACAGGATTTTTTTTTTTTTTTTGAGACAGAGTCTCACTCTGTTGCCCGGGCTAGAGTGAGTGCTGTGGCGTCAGCCTAGCTCACAGCAACCTCAAACTCCTGGGCTCAAGCAATCCTTCTGCCTCAGCCTCCCGAGTAGCTGGGACTACAGGCATGTGCCATCATGCCTGGCTAATTTTTTCTATATATATTTTTAGTTGTCCAGATAATTTCTTTCTATTTTGTTAGTAGAGACGGGGTCTCGCTCTTGCTCAGGCTGGTCTCAAACTCCTGACCTCAAGCAACCCTCCCGCCTCGGCCTCCCAGAGTGCTGCGATTCCAGGTGTGAGCCACCGCGCCCGGCCCATCATAGGATTTTTTATTAGGACTTGGGTGAACCCCTGAGCCTGTTCTCTCATCTAAGGAGGTAGGGAGTGGATTTGTAGGCATTTTGGAAACTGCAAAGCTTTATAGGCATGTACTGGAGAGCTATTGCCTGTTTTGGATTTCTTTAGACAATTTAGATCGGTTTTAGGCCCGGGACTGGTACTAGCGTGAGAAACCTGGCACCATGTGTTCAGCGGCCGTCATGTTGGTGCTGATTATGTGGGGAAAGGAGGGGGGAACCCACCATGAAGCTGAGGGTCACAGAAGGACTCAGTTTCCTTCTTTGGGCACTGAGCTGGGATATAGTCCCTTCTTCCTCCGGAGAGGGTGGCCTCTTTGCCATCCGTGGCTCCTGGGCTTCTGTTTGATTCGAGAGTCCTCTAGAAAGGGAGGGTCTGCTCTCTGCAAGCCGCGCACCCCAAGGTTCTTTGTCCCGCCTCCCCTACACCCGTCTGCCCCGTCTGATCCACGTCCGCGTGACGCCGCCTGTGGACACGCGGAGCAAGTTGTCCCCATCTGGGCCGGGTAATCCTCACCCTGCAGGCTCCGGGTCGCCCTTTTTCCTTTTGTGGGACCGTGTTTGAGGCTCAGGTGGGGGTGCGGTTTCCTCCAGACACGCTCTCAGGTCTGCATTCCTCTTGGTCAGAGACTGAGTGTCGTGTGGACGTGGGGCTGGGAGGGAGAGATGACGCGTTATACCAGGAGTGGGGGAGGAAAGCGGGGTCTCCCCAGGACCCACCCACCTGGCCAGAGGGTGGGTACCCTGGGCGGGGAGAGCTGGGGGCGCCCAGAGCCAAGGCAGGAGGGCTGGGCTGCTCTTCACAAGGGCTGGGCTGCACCAGGTCTGGCAGGGGCAGGGCGGTGGCCAAGGGAAGGGGCTGGTAAGGGGAGAGGGTGCAGCGGGAGGGGCGGGAGGCCCAGTGGGTCAATGTCTTCAGGGAATGTCCCAGGATGTTCCTTCTTGTGCTTCTTGAAGCCCAGCTTGTGGTGGCGGGAGCTGGCCCAGGAGCGTGAGGATGGCGTGGGGAGTCCTGGAGTGGGGCGTCCCCGCGTGCCCCCGCAGGCCCAGCCCAAGAGGCAGGCACTTCAGGAACAGGCAGTGGCTTCCTCCGGCCATGGCTGGCACTGAGGGGCCGGAGGAGCCCTCCCCGACATCCCAGGCAGTGCCCCTTTGTCACGTTTCTGCCGTCCTTGCGTGCCCCGCCCTGCTGGGGCGGCCCTGGGCCAGGCTGCCGGGCTCTGGCAGGCAGCAGGCCTCGGGGACACCGGGGCA